GAAGGGTGGAAACTGGGCCTATCCAGGAAGAGGAGGAAGGAAAGAAGGAGGGAGAGGAGGAAAAGGAAGGGAGGCAACCAGGCTTAGCTAACTACTTTCCTTCCTCTTTTTGGTCTTCCTGTCTGACACCCCTTGAGGAGGAGGAAGGAGAGGGAAGGGAAGGGAAAAGAGGAAAGAGGGAAGGGAAGAGGGGAGTGGCTCTCCTCAAAGGGGAAAGAGGGAGAGAGGGGAGGGAAAGGAAATGGGGAAGAGGAGAAGAGAAGAGAAGAGAAAGGGGGAAGTGGCTCTCACCTTAAGAAGAAAAGGGGAAAAGAGAGGGGAAAGTAAGGGAAAAAAAGAGAGAGAAAAAGAGAAAAGAGAACAGACAAACAGACAAACAGACATAACACAACCTAGACACCCGTCCCCGCCCATATCCTTGTCCCGTTTCCCGCGGTGGCACCCCCCCTTCACCCCTTTCCTCCCTCCCTCCCCCGGGGTAAGGAACCGGGGGGAGGGGGCTGCGGTGGAAAGGGGGGGGAGGGGTCACGCCGGATGACTTGAGGCGGAAATATGTGGCGAAGACGGAGGAGGGGTTCAGCATCCTTGGGGCGGCAGAGGTACTCCAGAAAGCCACCGGAGATATGGCCCTCTCACACGTACACAGGCGCACACAGGCGCACACGAGGCGTCGCACTCGAATGTATACGCACACAGATATATACAATGCTGAAATACCTTCCTGGACACGTACACAGACGTACACAAGCGCACACGAGGCGTCGCACTCGAATATAGACGCACACAAATATATACGATGCTGAAATACCTCCCCTTAGACACGTACACAGACGCACACAGATGCACACGAGGCATAGCACTTGAATACAGACGCACACAGGTATGTACAAGTCAGGTGAAATGCCTTCGCTTAGACACGTACACAGACGCACACGAGGCTCGAATGTATACGCACACAGATATATACAATGCTGAAAACAGCAAGTGCCTTCCCTTAGACACGTACACAGACGTACACAGGCGCACACGAGGCGTCGCACTCGAATATAGACGCACACAGGTATGTACAAGTCTGGTGAAATACCTTCGCTTAGACACGTACACAGACGCACACGAGGCTCGAATGTGCGCACTTGCTCGAATATATACGCACACAGATATGTACAAGTCTGCTAAAACACGTTCGCATAGACACGTACACAGACACACACAAACGCACACGAAACATCGCACTTTACTCGAATGTATACGCACACATATATACAAGTCTGCTGAAATACCCTACGTACACAGACGCACACGAGGCATATACACTTGGCCGTGTGCAAAAATACCGAAACATGTACGTGTTTACAGGGCCGAAGATTTACACAGGATCATGTAAACAGGAAGTATGCGCGTACACACACACACGCACACAAACTAGGCCAATAAGCACAGGAAATTGAGAATGAAAATTAACACAGACGTAAATAGATCTTAATTGACGCATGAAAATAAAGATCTTCAAAAGTGACAAACAAACAAAACAAGTGAAAAACCGCAAAGAAACAAGCAAAAAAAACGAAACCGAAAGAAACAAGAAAAAAAAATATGATAAAAAGAAAAAAAACAGCAAAACAGAGAAGGAAGAGAGATAAAGAAGGGAAATAGAGAGAAATAAGAGACCCCCCCCCCAGAAAAACCGAAAGAAGGAAAAAAGGAAAAAAAAAAAACAATATAAACAAACAAATCAAAACAAAAACAAAAACAAAAAAGCAAAACAAAAGAAGGAAGAGCGATAAAGGAAGGGATATAGAGAGAAGGAGAGAACCCCCCCTCGCGCAAAAAACAATTAAGAAAAGAACAGAAGAACGTGTCATTAGAGAATCCTAATTGAGGATCTATGGACGATGCCTCTGACGAACAGCGATCCGTCCCGCGCTACTGGAGGGGTGGGGTGGGGTGGGGTGGGGTGAGGAGGGGGTGGAGTGGGGGGGTGGGGTGGGTTTGGGATGGGGTGAGGAGGGAGTGGGGTGGGGCGAGGGGTGAGGAGGGAGTGGGGTGGGGTGAGGAGGGGGTGGAGAGGGGTGGGAGGTGGGTGGGAGGGTGAGGAAGGAGTGGAGAGGGGCGAGGAGGGGGGGTGGGGTGGGGGTGGGAGGGGGTGGAGAGGTGAGGGTGAGGAGGGAGTGGGGTGGGGTAGAGGGGTGGGGAGGGGTGAAGAGGGAATGGAGAGGGGTGAGGGGGGAGAGGAAAGGGGTGAGGAGGGAGTGGAGAGGGGCGAGGAGGGAGTGGGAGAGGAGTGGGGAGGGTGAGAGGGATGGGAGAGGGGTGACGAGGGATGGGAGGGTGAGGAAGGGCTGAGGAGGGAGTGGGGGTAGGGGGTGTGAGGAGTGAGTGGTGAGGGGTGGGGGGGAGGGGATGGAGAGGGATGGGGTGGGAGAGGAGTGAGGAGGGAGTGGTGAGGGGTGAGGAAGGGCTGAGAGGAGAGGGGGGCGGGGAGGCACAGGGCGGAGGGAGGGGGAGGGGAGGGTTTAGCAAAAGAAAGGAGGAAGAGGAAGAAAAAGGGATAAGGATGGATTGGAAGGAATAGGAAGAGGAAGGGGGGTAGGGGGTAGGGAAGGTAAAGGAAGATTGAATGGCAAAAAAATGAAAAATAAAAATATAAAAGATATTCAAAAATAGATGATCTGATAAGAATGAAATGAGATAAAAACAAATTACACTAAAAACATAATGAAAAAGTAATAAATAAACAAACAAAAAATACGAAATAATATATAACACATGATAAATAAAAACAGCGCAATAAACAAACACACCATGAGAACCAAACTTGCCAAACAGAGAAAAAAAAGTAAAAATGTGGTATGCAAACGAGAAGAGAAAAAGAAGAAAAAAAGAACAAAAAAACGAGACAGAATTTAAGAAAAAGCAAGAAAAAGAGAAGGAAGAGGATAACGCGAAAAGAAAAGGAAGAAAAAGAACAAAAACGAGAACAGAATTTAAGAAAAGCAAAAGAAGAAGGAAGAAGGAAAGAGGAAACCGAGAAGAGAAAAAGAAACAAAAAAGAAAGAAAAAGAACAAGACAGAATTTAAGAAAAGAAAAAGAAGAAAAGAAAAGATGAAAAAGAAAAAACCATCTCAGTGGATCAGGTGCCGACAAGCCCCTCCGCCGAGGACGCAGACCCAACACGTTAATTACAAGTCCACCAGGTACCTCAGTCGACGAGCATGAAGGCTGTCGTGGCTGTCTGTCGTGTCTTTGTTGTCGTGTCCTTGTCGCCGCCGCCTGTCTGTGTTTGTCTTTGATTACCGTAATTCCGTTTCTTGTCGTGTCTCTTGCGTGTGTTTGTGTTTCGTTTCGCGTAGACAGGTGAACAGGTGTCAGGGTGAAAGGGAGGGAGACGCGAGGGTGATAAAAAAAGATGGGGAAGGGCAGGGGAAGATTTAGAGATGGGAGAGGTTTGGTGTGGTGAGAGAGAGGGAGGGAGGAGGGAGAGAGAGAAGAGGGAGAGGGAGGAGGGAGGGAGAAAGGAAAAGGGAGAGGAGGGAGGGAGGGAGAGAAAGGAAGAGGGAGAGAGAGAAGAGAGAGAAGGCAGAGAGAGAGAGAGAGAGAGAGAGAGAGAGAGAGAGAGAGAGAGAGACGAGAGAGAGAGAGAGAGAGAAGAAGAGAGAGAGAGAAGAGAGAGGAGAGACAATAGAGAGACATAGAGAGACAGAGAGAGACAGAGAGAAACAGAGAGAGAAAAGAGAGAAACAGACAGACAAACCGACAAAAAGAAAGACAAAACATGGAGACAATAAAAAAAGAAAAAATATAGACAAAGAACCAACCAGACAAATCCAAAACACAGAAACAAACACAAACACAAAACAAAACACACCACGAAAAAAAAAAGCAGAACAAAAAGCCTAAACGATGACTCACGCGAGAAGCGGTAGACGGAAAAATGAGTAAAAGAAGTCAAAAGAAAGTCCCAGCGTGAGTAATGGCGGAGGGAGGCGCGACTGACTCACAGTGAGGCACAGTGTGAGGAAGGGAGGATGTGGGAGAGGATGGTGAGGGGAGGTGAGGGAGGGGAGGAGAGGTGGGGAGGGAGAGAGAGGGCGAAGCGTTCAATGGAGACGAAAGGATGGTAAAGGAAAGGAGTAGAATAGGCGAGAGAGCGAGAGGAGAGTAAAGAGAAGAGAGAAGAAGAGGAGAGAGGAGAGACAGGAGGGAGGGAGAGAGAAGAAAGAGAGAGAGAGCAGAGAAAGAGAGAAGTGGAGAGGGAAGAGAGAGAGAGGGAAAAGAGGCGAGAGAAGAGGCGAGAGAAAGAGAGAGAGAGAGAGAGAGAGAGAGAGAGAGAGAGAGAGAGAAGAGAGAGAGAGGAGAGAGGAGAGAGAGAGAGAGAGAGAGAGAGAGAGAGAGAGAAGAGAGAGAGAGAGAGAGAGAGAGAGAGAGAGAAGAGAGAGAGAGAGAGAGAGAGGAGAGAGAGAGAGAGACAGAGAGAGAGAGAGAGAGAGAGAGAGAAGAGAGAAAGAGGAGAAGAAAGAAGAGAGAAGAGAGACGAAAGAAGAGAAAAAGAGAAGAGAGAACAATTCAGAATTGGATAACGAGGGGAGAGAGAGAGAAGACGGGAAGAGGGGAGAGAGAGGAAAACTGAAGAGTTATATGGCTAATGAGAATGAATTACGGCGCGCGGGTTATAATGATTAACTTAAGAGGGCCATAAGTCCGTTACGTGGCCGATTTGAATATGCATAACACTTGGTCGCAACGAATTCGCGAATAAACAAAGATATAAAGGAGAAAGAAAGAAAAATGTGTGTAAATGATAGTGACTTATGAGGTTGGGGAAGATGTCAATTTATAACGACCTGACATGCTGATATATCGAGGCAATATAAAATAGAAGAAAAAAAATCACACAGGAATTAAACACACACACACACACACACACAACACACACACACACACACACGCGCGCACATACACACGTCCCCAAAAGGGCGCGAGAGAAAGCGGTCTTCCTTAC